AACACACTGTTCCCCTCATAAAAATAAAATGCGTACGTGTGATCAGTGTTCTAAACCCCACCGGATATGCCCTATATAGTCCGACCAGAGCGACACGTTTGTCACTTGGCTACTAGTTGATTAGTCCCTGAGATAGCTAGCGTTCATTGAAAACTATTGTAAGGTGTTATCATTAGCACATTAATTTGTCAAAGTAAGCTCAACGGACTATCGTCTAAGTGAAGAAAGCCACCAAACTTGCAGTCAGTGGTGGACTGACAGAACACTGATGTACCTACATAGGCTAACAAACTCTCATGACGAGCCTGTGACGACCAGAGTATAAATACATATACAGCAAATGAATTTGCATCAAAATCCATTCTTCAAACCCCAGAAACTGTCGGAACACCAAGGGTCCTGACCGGCCTCCTTCGGTATAAATTACGGAATGAGTATATGGAATGAGAAAGTACACTCCCGCCAAAAATATGACATGAGTTCTATTTTTTCAAATGAAAGAAGCTATACCAAAGGAGGCTAACATACCCAAGATGCAGACAGATAATGAGGTAGTAACTGGCAAAGAAATTCATGGAATGCTTGCCATGATATAATACTAATTGTACCCTGGATAGTTCTCTACCGGCCCCGCATTTCCCGGGAGTTATAGATTCTGAGATTCCATCAAACTTATATTTTCCTCAAAAACAAAATTATAAGCTTGGTGGGGTATAATGATTTTCAAACTAAGCTATACTTACCGGCGCACTTAGCCAAATGCCAGTGGAGTTACTCTTCTTGGAATGCATGATCAGCGGTTTAACGTAAAACCCATGTACGTGAGCCATGAATCGACCCTCCAAAACCATTCAGTTTACAATAGACATTTTCAAAAATCCAGTTTAATTAGCACCCTACTACTGTAACTTATGAGCGACCTCTTTTCGTCCAGGTCAATTAGTGACCGATAGGAACCACCTCAAGAAACGACACTGCCAAGCGTACCTGAAAAACTCATAAGATACTTTTGCTACGGTAACACTACTGCACAGCATACTGGCGTTCACAACCTAAAATGATGCTGACAAAGTACTCCTATTCAAAAAGGAAATCCAAAGCAGAAACGCGTCCGTCCGGTTGTTTTTCAATCCTCGGTTGAGGAAAGAAAGCTTGAAACTCAAGAGATGACAATTAATTGTCCAAGAAAGTCCTGGTTTGATTTCAAAGGGAAACGTCATAATAAAAATGTCATTAGGGTGAGTGATCATCAGTCGACGGTCACGTGAAAATACTCTGTAGTACTGATGCTACCTTAATCAGAGACATCAGTAGAACCTTCTAGAATTATTCTGAAAGGATCGATATACAGAACTTCTACAGTATGTCACAACTGTAATACCGGCTGATCGTAGTAGCGTTAGAACATAAGATAAAACGGCATACTACAACTAAAGAGTTATCGAATCTCTGATTAAAGCCTTGTTCAGTTAGATTACGTCTTCTTCGTGTAGTCAGTGTTCTCCACTGTTATACATTTATATTAACTCAGATGATAAAATGTGATGGCCAGTGTGCAGCCTCACCACGTCCAAGCGTCTCATGATTACATACAAGACGACTGAATGTCCGGTGCAATTCCTATGGTGGAGATGAAAAGTTTGAGCTCAAAATAGGGAAACCTGTTTAGAATATCAATGGAAAGCGAGAATTTGGCCTTGTAGAAGGCTTCTCTATCTCAACCTGGAACTTGCCATTAACTTCATATGATATGATATGACTTCATATGACATATGATAAAATCTCAGGTTCAGTTAAAGATCTTTCAAGAAGAGAATTGCCTCGTTTCACATGCTGCTGTTCAAGATTATCAAGTTTCATCGGTACGGATCGGTCAGATGACTTTTCGGCTGCCATTTACAAACTCCAGATTACACTAGATACATATGGTTAAGTTAATTTGGACTTCCGCTTTGCGTCTCATAGCGCTTCTGTACAGTGATTGATATTAGAGATGGTTACTTTCCCGCAAAGTCAGTGTTTAGAATTTTCGCCTATGATGGAGATAATCCTCTCAGGACGAACTAATTTCCCAAGCTGGGTGCATGTGTCAGTGTTGACGTGACGTCCGCGTTAATAATAGCAATGCGGTATATATTTACCCTCAAAAAAATGTCCATGCTTGAACGATAGAGGATTTTAGGGTGCGCCTAGAAAAAAAACTTCGATGAACAGTGGCAAAAAGTCTCACCTCTATATGTTGGGAGATTTTAAAGTGCAACAAAAGCCTAACGTTGAAAGGCATCAAACTGATTTATTAGAATTTGTTTTGTTATCACACATGCGTCTAATCTAGGAGGAAACCCATGTTCAGCACCAACTTTCAGTGATGCTTCACCGACCCTCATATTAGTAAAAGCATCAATGTATTGTAGTCAAAATCCTTGTTTACTGAACACATTTTCCCAGTCCATAACTATCATTTGCCGAAGAGAGCACTGTTTTCCGTGCCCAATTTAGAGTGGCGAAAGTAGGGAGGGGGACAAGCCTTGGTCTGGCAGACGGGTATGAAAGAAATTACAAAAAGTGTGGGTGCTGTCAGTGCTAATCGCCTTACAGAATAGGGCTTGCGTGATCCCCACTGCACTTGGTTGGAGACGCCGCAAGACATGGCTGCCAATCGATGTCAGTGGTGTTCTTGTTGTCAGTTTCTTCTATCTAGGTTACCTGATTGTCTGGAGGCGGAGGCACCTTGGAATAATTGTGGTGAGCTAGGACTATGTCACTTCTCCGTCCACTTTTATTTTTCTCTTTAAAACAAGTCTTCCAAATAAATCGTGCTTGTGCGACGGAGAAGCGTCAGTGTTGAAGATTGATATTATGCAGTCGATGATGATAATGAATTCCATCTTTATTTATTTGTTTGTTTATTTATTCATCACTGGCAGTTACTCTGGAATGGAATGCTCTTCATCTAGCAGAGTCTCACTACATTGAAGAGCAGAACATTAGATATGCAACAAAGAAAAAAACATTGCCCGAATATTCCCCTAGAAGCAAACTAAAGCCTCATCTAAAAAAAGTCTACTAACCTGGAAGGTCTACAGTAGCGTTCAATTTAAACCATTGCCTAGCGTCTGATGCTTCCAGCTTTCCCGGAGATATTGAATTAATATATGTTGCATCTTATCTAAAACCAGGCGTATGTAGGAAAGATATCAGTCTGGGTCACCATCGAGTCGCTTGTCTCTTACGTAGTTTAATATCGATTTTTCAATCTAGGGATAGGTTTTCATCGTTGTGGCACAGCAAAATTACTATAAACAGAATACGGCGCTCACCAGTCTGAGCCTAGATCCAGCCAGCTGGAGGGCTCGGACAGCTTCTTCATGTGACACACCTATCAGACTGATTCCGTTCACGGACAGGATCCGGTCATTTACTCTGGAAAATTACAGAAGGGAGGATGATGGGATGGAGTGATACACAGAGGCTAAAAACTAGCCTAATGATGCATTTAAGGTAGGCAGCATATGGTACATGAATCAAATATCGTTGAAAATAAACTGTTATGTGCATGACATGGAAGAAAGAACAAACAAGTGTGCATCACAGTACTTCAGAGCTCTCCCATACGTGTAAGTAACTGATAGTAGAGTGTGTGCAACCAAAGTCAAGTAATAACCGCTTGCCAGTACTTTTGGAACATTCGTATGAATGAAAAAAGCAGACACTAATTACAAGTCACATGCAGGACGAGCTGACAAACCAAACCCAATAAATTTATTTCAAACTCTAGCTGATCAGTGGGTAGTTTTCATACGGTAATATCAATCGAATAGCTTGTAGGTTGAAAAGTCAACGCCCGCACGTTAGCCAATGACTGTTATCCACATCGGTTTCGCTTCGCAACATCAACCGGCCGTGAAAGAAGTGCATTCGGAGCACAGTAACGTATTTGGATTTTTCCGAAGTTCAAGCTTACGATCTAAGTTTGGTGAGATTCGAGTACGATTCTGAGAAGACAGTTTTATATTTCATCTCTGTATTGAATTTCATTCTATATTGGATAGTTGGGCTGACTAAGCGAAGATAGCTAGTCGGGCAATCGTTCAGAGGCAGTCACCTGGGTGTGACTATCTGGTGATAGTTCTCTTGGGTCTATGGTGCATTATTAGTTAAGTTGTGCGCTAATCACCTCATTAGTTATATATTTGTGCTAACATTATGAGAGTTGGCATCATCCCTTAAAATATAAGTTGCCTGAATTAGAAAAGAGTCGGACTATATATCTAAGCACGCTGCATTGGATTATTTCATTTCCAACGAATGGATGTGCTGAAATTTCAAAGTTTTCCAGTACGAGCGAAAACGGTTTGCACTCACTGTAAGCCTCCTGACCGGTCCGCTGCTCCACCAGGATTGATCCGAGTGACCAGTATATCTACATTTGCGTTGGGTGGATCAATGGAGTCGTCTCGCCCTCCAGCAATGCTGAAGCCAAACCCTTGCGAAGTTTTGTCAAGCACAACCTCCGTGGTAATTGAAAGGTGACTTAGTGCACCCCATCTACTAGAATCAACCAAGTCTGCGCGCGGAAACATCGGCGAACTGTGTTCCGGCTCATTCCATTCAGGGCCCAGGATCGAATGGGTAGTTGATTTAGGTCGTTTCAAACGCCTCTGACGAGGTTTGGCCACTGGACGTTTGGGTTCCACAGACGGTATACTTGGACTACTGGTAGACTGCAGCTCTGGATTATGACTGGGTTCACCTGAGAACACTGCCGAATCGGGCAATCGAGTCAAACCAGCGCCAGCCGTCCAAAGACATGGAGACTCATTTGATGGTGTATAACTAGGCATCGGAAATGACAAGGTGGAGTTGCTTTGGTCTGTTTGCACTATTTCATAGGGCCTTCGATGATTAGGTTTTGTTCCAATCCCGATTCCATCATCCCTGCCTATCTTTCCTAAACGGTGTGAATGGGCGAAAATCTTGTCTTCTTCTGAGTCATCCAGACCCATCAAATTGAGTTGGTATAGGGATCGCTGTAATCAAAATTTTGAACAGTATAGGATAAATGAGCGGCATAATACCGAAGCAACTGGATCACAGGAAATGAGTAAAAGGAAAAAGCATAGAAAGAAGTGCGGACAACTGTATGTAAGTTCTGCGTGTAAACATCTTCTATACCCAAGGATGAATGCAATCAGTTATTCGAAGCTACCTAAGTCTTAGAACATTAGAATAATTATCGGGACGCCTTGTATTCAGGTGATCTGTTGCTCGTCAGGGATGAAGTGGCCAACCTAATTTGACAATAAGACCACAATCTAAAAGCAATGGGGTTTTAATTTAGACTAATTCCTTTGGGACAAATGGCAAAACAAATCGTCACCAAACTAGGTCGCCAATGTCCTGAACCTCCCATGTTGCCTGTTTTATCCAGCAATATTGACTTTGGCGATGTCTCTGTTCTCTTGGATCAAACTTTTCCCTCAGCGTCTCTTATGACCCATGGTTTTCCCTCATTACGAACAAAACCCCAAAGTGCGTAGCTGTGATATTTCTCATATACTTAATTGCAGAAGAATGAAATGTCTAAACAAAAACAATTGGTTCTATCCCAGTTGGTTCCGGTCCTTAGAGGTATTAATACACTAGGATTTGTGACTCCCGATAAGCCACGTTTACTACTATCTACGCACTTATCAGCTCCAGGCGATGGACAGGTTGTTTCATTATCGTTGTTTTGACGCTTAAACGGTTTCCATATAACCGGTTTACGAATAGTCATGTTATTGCCAAGTTTCGGGCCGGGATGTGTGTTTCCAACATGTTGACTCTTCTAAGTACACAATGTGGAAATGTTCCGTTGTATATACTTCTCACATATGTATTCACAGCCCTGGTTATAACAGTCCTCTTATCGCCGTCTGACAACAGTTGGTTCACACAAACGTAAGATGTACTCCCTTCAGAAGTCGAACCCGACATTTGAAATGCGAAGTGAACATGTCGCCACCGCTCAACCAGTGCACACTAAGCGCACATCTGAAGAAGCAAACCTGGTTTGCACGGATGACTGACTTGGTTCAGTTATTCGATCAGTGCTCATAATCACGTTTTGGATCCGAGAGTTAAGATTTTGTCGTTGGTTACGATTTTCGAAATTTAAAAAAGGCGTATGTTTAAAACAGAAACGTACTCGTAACGCATTCTGGGACGAATACATAGACGTCACCTCCAGCAGTATAACCCGCTGGAGTGGTTACTTGTGCTCGGTTGCGTTGAGTTCATTACATGGATCTCAATAAACCAGTGACCAGTCCGCTGACGGTAAAAATTTGTGTCGGTTTTAAGTGAGCTTCCTCAATTACTTCTCACGTCTGCTGTTCGTACTGCTCACTCAACTGGAGTATAGCTGTGCCGAAAAGTTGCAAGGTACTACACGACCGTTTCATTTTTATCGGGAGTCAACAACAATGCAATCCATCTTGTGGTATAAAATAAATAGTTGAAATTTCAGAACGTCCTCTTTACTCACAGACACTGATGAGCATTGGTTCAAAGCATTCTCTACAGCGTCCGACTCCGTTTATCGGCTACCTTCCGTGCATACTTTTGGTTCCCGATTTGGTGATGGTTACTCTCCGAAATATTTCATTCACATAAAAGCTTTTTTTCATTTCATCACACGATGGAATATTGGCTTAATTCCACCATGTTATGTAGCATCATGGTGTCATAAACGAAAGCGTAGGAATTTACCAACAACCGGTGCAAGGAAAATATGCTGCATTTCAAGATTTTAAAAAGTTCGTTCATAGCCCCTAAAATCTAAGGAGTTGCAGAAAGCAGCTGAAATAGACGCATAGCTGTCTCACTGGCCCACGAATCGTACGTTAGTATTCATAATGTTGATACCACCGTGTGCTCATGGAAAACCGACGTAACATCTCCTTGAGGTCGGAAGTTTTTTCAGTCTTCTGTGGGAACAATTATACTATTGCATGAAAATGGTCGTCAAATGCATTATAAGGCATAGGTATGCACGTGAGCATCAAAGTGCGTCTTCGTATAGGTTAACAAGCGGTTAACCAGCGTCTGTGTAATTCGTCGCATCAAGCTATTATCAAAATCCACTACTCACCAGTTATGCTAGGAACTAAGGGTTTGGTTTGGGGTGAAAAGGACGAACAAAGTCGCATTGTTACTCATCACACCTTCCAGCAAAGCGTAACGACCTGGATTCCTCTTTGTAGCTAGAGCAAGTCGAAATATGTCCTCCAGCAACAAAAGGAAACTTCTCGAGATCTATCACGAACACAATGCATCCGAATATGTTTCCTAATCTCCTGGTACTATATATGTATTTGAGTGCCCATACCACATTTTTGCCTCTGGTACAGTTGAGTATTTTAAAATGGAATTGTCATCCCAAAGGCACGTAAGCATTAGGAGCGCCAGTGTACTATCATGCACTGCCCATGTGGAACTAACATTGAAGCTTACGGCTTCCGAAAGGATATCGTAACGGAAAGCCAGCTGGTGATATTTTGACGAGGTCTTTTAGAGCACAGGGAAAATGTGGGTGATGTCTTAGTCACCTGGGGAATGGAATCCAAAGTCCCAACTAAGAAATATCTTTACCACCAAAATAGCTTGCTTTCACGTAAATTATACGTATGTACCGCCTATTTTAGGCGTAGTCGATCAGGACTCATGTAAGCCGTAAATAGTGTGCCAAATGCCAAGATCAGAGGAGAGATGGAACTAAGCAGCGAAACCAAGCTAGTTATATCCCTCAATATCAACGGTAGACTGTGCACAACAGATATAAACGTTAACTCCCACTAAAGCACCAGGCGGCCAATTTGACGGTCCCAAGGTACTTATCCCGACATTCCTTTATTCTTATTCCGCCGACGAAAAATACAGTAATGTTAAAATAACTGATTCACTAAGCCACACCACAAAGTCACAAATGCTTTTAGCTTTCTTTTCGGAATCGCCAGCGTAAGAATCCCAAGAGGGGACAAAAATGAGTGCAAATGACTGAAATTACATCAAAATGCTCAGGTTCCATTACTTTTAGTTCTACACGTATTGCTTTGGCTAACCCCCACAGTGAAACTGACCGTGTTTCCCGACTTTTCGGCAAAGCTTGAAAATCACCAAATCTACTCACTCTACTGTCTGAATTAGTTTGCGGTCGCCTGGGTAGAAGGAACCGTTCGAACTCGTACGAACACGTAAGATGAGCGCCAACTCCATTCCGTATCAGTGAAGATTGTTAAGCCTGTTTTGGTGAATAGGGTTGCATGACGAGTAACCAGGAGATTAGTGTATAAATCAACTGCTCGCTTGAAGAATAATCAACGTTGTGGATACCGTTTGCACAAGACTCAGGTAAGCAAGAATAGATGATATCGGTAGTCCCGGGACACTCCGGTCTCTGGAGTGAAGAAGAAACTTGCGTGCACAGTGTGAGGAGAGGAGAACCAGGTTGTTAGTTGGCAAATCGGGACATGAATAATTTTGTTCAAACCGGCATCTGACGGCTCGCTTAATTGCAAGCCCGTCATTTCTTACCAAATAGAAAGTGGTGGATGGGCATGTAATGTGAGAAAACCTTACGTTAAATAATTTTGTCGATTATGTCACTCAATGGGCCGAATGCCTGTAAACTCACAAAAACCCTTATGATAAATCTGGAGTGAAAGAACCGCATCATATGTGGATCCTACTTTCTAACAATTTAATTCAATGTCTTCAGTGTGTGTATGAATGCGTGGGCTTCCGTGACAGACCAACGACGGAAATAAACGAAAGCTTCCAAATATTCCGCTTTTCACAAATATTTCTACAGTATTTATTTACTTTTAGTATTAGTGATTTGCTTGGTACGTGGAAAAAGTAAAAGTGGCAATAGCCTTGGGCCTAATGATTTGAAATATGGTTGGTCAATTTTTTGGGACAAAGGAGGGTGACTAACTGTTGCCGCTGGCAACACAAGTCGTGACCAAGTCCACACCCGGAAGCACATGGGCGTGGGACACACTGAACGGCTTGTACTATGACTTCTAACCATAGGGATTTGAGAGCTTGTAAAGTTTGTCACTCTGGGTGACGCTGTTTGACTTGAGTTTTCCACACACATCTAAAGTGGAAGGCGAGCTACCGTGTTGAGGACAGAATAATATCTTGAAAATCAGCACTGACTTGCTGATAAGTTGGAATCAGCATAATTATAATGCATCATACAGGGGGGACATCGCACTTCCTAAAAGAATGAAGAGGTGATATGTGTCCTCGATTAAAGTGGTGGTGAACAAACATCCGGACAACAAATAGGCTAACAGTGTCGACAGTATTTCCAACTAATTCGAGTTCGCCACCCGTATGAAACAGATAGCCGCAAAATCGATTTGTTTTGAGCCGTGCGTGTAGCGTCCCGAACACTGTGGTTTGTAAAAACTTGAGAGCGCACTACAGGAGAACGAACAGAAGGACGGCGCTATGGATAACAGCATGCCTACCACGACTGTCCGCTGTTTGTGAGGAAGAAAATTTGGGAACACGCATGAAATGACTACTTAATTTCGAGATTACTCAACCGGACCACGATGTTCCGGTGACCCACGTAAATCGTAGATAAGGTTAAGATTAGGCATTAGTGGGTGTACTTTGCACAATGGCGTCTGAGAAAATTCACAATCGTGGGATAACCGTCCCAAATATATCCAGCACTCCACCTGAACCAAATGTGAATAGATATATGGTGGTACAACTGACTCAACTTATGGGTCATTCTCTGGGCCACAACCACATACGAATGACGAATTGCTATTCTATACAGACCTCTCGAGCTTTATTTGTTTGCTGACACTATACCAACGATATGCGGTACTTTCACTGCGCTAATCGATCTGTTCAAACCAAAAGTGCGGTGGTGATCAAATCATAAGTCAGTCCCCGTAGTTCTATCACTTTGCATGGAATCTGAGTGGCTTTTTCATGCAGTTTCCGAGTCGGACAATAATTATCGAAACGGCACTAAATAGGCACCTTGCTCGGATGCCCAGAGCATGCTGACATGCGTCTTGCGGGATGGCCCTGGGCGTATAACAGCACAGGATGGTGTGGATGAAGTAAACTGG